TAGGACCTATTTGTCATTTGTAGAATGAAGGTTTCCCCAAATTGGCATTAAGCCTTAAATGAAACGAAGCAACTTAGCAGGTATACAGAAAAATAAAATTGGTGTAGGACACCATTTACTCCTTTACGCATTGTCAATAATTTTAAAAAAGCAAAGGCAGTCATCAGATCTCTCTACCATGTTTTCCCGTAAATAAGACAGTGTCTTATTTTCTTTTTATCCTGTAAATAAGTGGTTGGCCTTATTTTTGGGGAGGTCTTATTATTTTTGAGGTGCAAGAGACGATGAGCGTAGTCACCTCATGGCTGCTGCTGTGTTGCAATATTTTCAAGGAGGGCTTATTTTTGGGGGAGGGCTTATTTTAGCACATGCACTCAAAAGCCCGATTGGGCTTATTATCCGGGGAGGTCTTATTTTCAGGGAAACAGGGAAGCAGAGTGTTTCCTACCCTTAATGCAGGGGTGTCAAACTCACGTCGTCATGGCAGCATCATATGACATATCGGGACTTTTTTCTTCTTCGCCAAACCGGGCATGGGAGTGGCCAGCGTGTGATACTTCCTACCCGTGGTCCGCGAGTCAGATAGCCCCGCCTAAACAAAGCTCCTCCTTTTCTTTATACAACCCTCAAAATGCCTTTAAAGAACCAAGGAGCCATTCAGCCTGATGTATGATAGAGATGTGAGTCTTAAGTTGATCCATCCCACCAACCACATTTAAACCAATGGAAGTCTTATCCTGTCTTTGGATCGTTCTTGTTGAATTGTTTAGGGCTTCCCCAAACCATGCACTTTTGAAAACAGATTATGTTGGACTGTTCTGTTAAGCCTCTTATTTTTTTAACTCTATTGTTTCCACCCTATCAAATCAAAGGATGTGGACAGAGAACTTGAAAGCTTCCACTGAGCAGTATTGCAGATCCCTGTCAGATTTGGTCTCAACTATGGAAAACAGTTGGGGAACTCAGAGGAGGAGATGGGGGGAAAATTAATCAATCTTTAAGTACAGAATGCCTTCCATTCTGTGAACACATTTCATTAATGTGTTTCTTGTCCAGTGAGTTATTACATGCAAACGGTTAAGTTTCTTTACTCATGCATTCATTATTTTTATTAGCTCCTTCAAGTACTTTTTAGTAGAAAAGAACGATATAAACATTTCTTAAATCAAATAAATATCACCCAAATGTTTCTCACGACAATGTTCTCATATATACTCACATCTGCTCTCCACTGAATAACATTTCCATTTTACACATGAGGAACTGGGTTAAATCTATCTTATGAAGGCTGAAGAGCCACAATAATTCAGAACTGTAAATACTGACCACACTGGAACAGTATGTTCATTCCTTTTAATGGCAGAAAAAAAATAATCAAACTGTATTATATGTCTTGAAAGTTTAGCAAAAGATTCTCTCACACCCTTCTCCAGTTCATCTAATTCACTGAATCCATCACTGAATTCCAAGAAACCTAGGAAATCTTGTCCTCAGATACATCTACAATAAAAGCCATCACCTCACTCAATGTGATTCTTACCAAATATCTCCTACAGGCCTAGCTTTCAAAAGATTGTTCCCTTAATGGAGCAAACATTTCTATCTCATTCTCTTTTTCTTTACTCTCTTTTACTCCCTCTCTAATAGCCTGAACTAACTGGTTCTCCTCTTTCTACCATAAGAAGAAGGGGATTCCCACCTTGGCAGATACACCTCAACCTTTTGTTTCTTCACAGAGGTTGCCCATTCCTCGATCAGCTGGGCTTTGACCAAAGGCTCCAGGGTGGCTAGTGGCACTTCCTGCCTGGAGAGAACGATCATCATGCTGAACTCATCTCCCTCGTAGGGTATTTCCAAGACTTGATAGATGCCTCCTGCTTCATTGGATCCATCACTGAATTCTCCTAAAAAAGAACAACAACCCAAAAGAGTTAGTTAGACTTTTTCATCCCATTTTTTTTGTGGAAAATAAAAAAGATAAATAGAATATTGTCATAGTTTTAGTTAGTTTTGCTTTGGGGATGTACCTAATAGACCTGGGGTGTCAAACTCAAGGCCCGCAGGCCAGATCTGGCCCACAGAGTGCTTAGATCTGACCCGTGGGGCTGCCTTGGACAGCAAAGGAAGAGCCCATGGTGCCTCTACCAGCGAAAATGGAGCTCAGGGAGGGTTGCAGGAGACTGTCATGGGGCACAGGGGGGGTTGCAAGTGGCCGCCCTGAGCTCCAGTTTTGCTGGCAGAGACATCGTGGGCTGTTCCTTTGTTGTCCAGGGGAGCCCCATGGGTCAGATCTAAGCACCCTGTGAGCCAGATCTGGCGCCGTCATGGCTGAAACAGAGCCTGTTTTTGCTGGCAGAGTGCTCGGACACAACAGGCGCCTCCGACACGAGTGACCTGAAATTGGCCATGCCCACCCTAGCCCCATGAGATCAAATACAACCCTGATGCACCCTCAGTGAAATAGAGTTTGACACCACTGTAATAGACAGTTTGCCATTATAGATGTCATGGAATGCAGTAAGAAGGTGATTCTTAGGAAGGAGAAGGTGTATTACAAGTTGTAGACAGCTTGTAAACAGCTAGCGTAAGCAAATTATCTATCTATATTGCAAGACTCTCCACAGGCTGCTTGCCTTCTCCTGAGAAGAATTTGATAAGGCTTTGTGTACCTTAGAGGAGGTCAATCCTATGCTGCTGGTGTCTGTGCAATGATTCCCAGCATCTCCAGAAGAGAAAGAAGCAACTGAGTCCAGATATTTTGGGTGGGAGAAAGGGGTTGAAGATGGCCCTCACTAACAGTTTACCAAGTGTATTGTAGATGCAGACAGTGCACTACTCCCTGACAACATTTTGTCTATAGGTGTTAAACAATCAAGAACTCAGTTTGGAAGAATTGCCCTGTGCCATTCTTGGTTTCGAGCCTGATCTCTCTTTAAACATGACAATTGGATCTAAACTGAATGCAAAATCATGAATGTGCACAGTGGTTTGAAGTTTCAAATGCACAGGAGCGAAAGCATGGGGGTGGGTGGGTTTGGCCAATTTTTGTTTCATTATAAACGGAATGGTATAACTTTGGTGAATTGATCCCCATAATCTAAACATTCAGACATTAATAAAATAACACTTTTTGCAAACAATGGTTTGCTATGTGCCTTCAAACGGCTGTTTCAAATCATAACAAGTCAACCAGTTTATAACAAGTTTGGCTACAGATCATGAAGCAAAAGCTCCTATGATCGCTTAAAGCTCTGCTGGGTTGGCTGTCAAATTAATGAGCACAGTTTAAAGTTCCTGGGGTTAGCTGCGTGGAGTCAGGCTCATTCATGCTACCCCTCGACCACAAAGGTGCTCAGTATGCCAAAATTGGACTTCAATGGCTCGAGCCAAAGCTCTTACCACTGAAAGAAGCCCAGTGAGACCGGGAGTCAGCCGGCTGGAATAACTCACTGTATGGAGTTTAAGAATGTCCTGGTCAATGTAAAAGAATCCAGAAATGCTCTGTCAAGAATAGAGGAATTTTTGACATGTCTGTCCTAGCTGAGGGACTGAGTCAGAAGCTGGGGGGGAGGGGGCATTAGGCATGTACTCACAGCTCTGATATACTCAGTCCAATCAGGTAACAGATGAGGTCAACCCATCCTGGATTCTCTCTCCACCACAATGGAGAAGCATCTCGTGTCTAAATCCAGCTAAAATGTTTCCTTTTGTGCCTCAAAGCATTTGAATTTTAAAAATGATATATAGATGAAAAATAGAAGTCCATTTTTGGAACCAAACCGATTTGGCTGTCGCTAGTCCAGGATGAGAGATTGCTTAGAATTATTACTGTACATTGGCTGGATTATAAACAGACATCCAAAATAATGTGAATAATCTGCAAGGTTGAATTGGAAAGGAGCCACTGGACAGTCAAGAGCCTCCTTATTACCAGCTGTTAATTTAGGGTTGTATATATGGGATCCATATGGTATATCATCAAAAGTGAGTTTGGAGCTACCTTTCAACTGTCAAGCCTTTTGCAGCTGTGAAATATTCAACAACGCTTCAAGTTGTTTTTCCTCCTGTCTTGTAACAAGGAGTAATAGCCCAAAGCACTAGAATTTTAGAGTGAAAAGGGGTATGATATAATTGATGCAAGAGGGTGCAGGAAATAGGGAATTCTTATTCACTACAAGGATTTCAGCTCCAACAGACATTGAATGTCACAGAGTTTACTTGCAGTAAGCAACATTTTTGTAGGGTTTTAAGTCTTCATAAACATGAAAAATTTGATGCTATTAGTACTCAACTGCTTTGAAACTCATCAATTTAGTACTTAATGCCTTTTTGATGTGAACATTTTGTGCTGGTACCCATCATTTGTTTCGTGCTCAAAGCAAGACTAGAATTTGTCAGTGTCCATTACCTTATGACTCACTATATTATTCCTTATGGGAAAAGTCTGTTTGGTGCTCATCGCATCTCCCGGAACCAATTAATGATGAGTACCAAGATAGCACTGTTCTAGCCTATTATAAGTGAATAATTAAAATAGAAAGTTACTATTTGTCTTGTAGGAAAAGTGAGAATCAAATTACAGGTAGTCCTCGTTTAATGACTGATTGCTTAGTGGCTGTTAATTATGATTACCCTTCCCAGAACTACTTAGGATCTGATTTAGAAGTTTCAATGGCTGCACCCATCTTGTGTGGTCGTAATTTGGGTGATTGTCAACTGACCTGGATTTCCATCCATTTGCTGAGTCCTGTGGTTATGTGACTTTGATTTTGAGAATTTTAGGGTTGTTTTCAGCATTTGTTTCTGGTTTCTGGGAAAAAATCACCCACTGGGGAAAATGACTAATGACACTTAATGACCACAGTGTTCATTTAATAACCACTGCAAAAAGATGGTAAAATTGGACATAGTAACAGGATGTCCTGTTTAACAACCACTGTGACAATCATATTTCTGGGCTCAATTTCAGTCATAAATTGAGAACTACCCATACTATAATCAATCTATCAATTTATCAATCTCTATCTATCTATCTATCTATCTATCTATCTATCTATCTATCTATCTATCTATCTATCTAT